CGGGCTGTGTCGGGGCCTGGGCAATACTCCTGCCCTGGTGTGGCCACCTGCATTCAGAGCAGCTGACCTGGTGCAGGGCTGTGGAGAAGAAAGAGACGTTTGAGACGTCAGGGAGCTTGGTGGCGACTCGCTGAGCCCTTGCTGCTGCTCCCTTCCTGAGCTACACTGCTGTGTCAGATCAGAAGGGTCACCCGTATGCTCCTGAGGTATCAAAAACAAAACTGCGGGGGTAAATAGACTGATCTGCTTAAGCAGAAGAAAGCCTGGAAATACTGTTGAAAGGATTAATAGTATTCTTTCTTTTCTCTGGGGAATTTTCATTTCGGCAAGTCAGTTTTTTGATTAAAATGACTACTCAGATGATTCAAGATAGCTCTAGTCATGATGGGATATGGAGGGATCTGCAAACTCAACAAAGCCACAAACTAAGTGAATGTGCAAAATCAGTTCTAGTTTCCCACCAGACAGATAGCACAATGGCTGCTTCATTTACAGCATATCTTCTGTTATACTTATTTATTATTTGTATTTTAAAGAGAATGGAACTGAGCACTCTGAAATACCAACCTGCCCCTTCAGTTGCCCAGCCACTTTCTGCAGTACAGCACAGAGATTAACATACTGTGTCGTTTTTTGTTAACAGGACACTATTCTCAGAACCCATACAGTATCCTTCCAGCATTTGACAAGGACTGTGTAAGAGCTAATAGCACTGCATAAGACCACTTCTCTGGTCTGCAAACACAGTAAGATGCATTATCTTCAGAATTATGTTAGCTCTAGAGTTAACCACAGGATGAGGAGATGCCATCTCCGCAATGAACCTCATTTTAGCACAAGGTAAACACACTTCCCCCACATCAGCTAGTCTCACAGCATTAGTGCTGTGTTGAGATTGATTACTAGCAGAGTGTTGCTGAGATATGGATTTGTATCTCAGCTTTTTATCACCATGACTTGCAAAAGGCGGTTCCTTATTTACAGACCCTAGCTGTATTAAGTGACATTATTAGGTACTACTTCTGTTTAAGTGACACGAAAGCTTACCATATTGCTGGTTTACGACATACAGGCTGCTTTAATCTGATGACTTGCCCCTCACTTTTTCAATCTGTAAATAGGAGCCGCAGCACAAGAACATATGGTACTAAAGAAATTAAAGCTAAAGTAAATGGCATTAAAATAAATTCAAATAATAAAATGAGATACTCAATCTGAATTATAAACCTTGGCCTGTGTTAGACTTTTAAAAACAGGAAATAGAAAACACAAATATGAAAATTAGCCTTTCGAAACAATTTTAGGACCATTTCAGAGTTTTGCTGTGATTTAATAATTTCTAACCCTTGTTATTTACATTTTATGATTAAATGAATAAGTCTGCAAAAACACTTTTAAATAATTGAAATCAGGTTTGAATACCGCATTAATTAAATTAGTTGTTTACTCTTTTAGTTCCGACCATATCTCTTCTGATGCAGCAAAAACACGTTATGCATTCTTAAAAGTCTACTGCATTAAATATACTTGATATGTATGAACACCAGCAATATGCACAAAATCTCAAAAGAACCCAGAAAAATTGCCAGCCTTCACATTCCACACCAAATCCTAATAAGAGGGGCAAGGAAAAGAAAAATTCCTCTTTCCTACATTTTAAAGTGTTTAAGAGCATATGGGAAAAAAAAAAAACTCTTCTCCTCATCCAAATAGCATCACTTCTCCCATTATTATTCTGCTCTAAGCTCTAACCTGTAACATACAAAGGAAGCATCACGTGCCATACAGGGCCCAAAGCAGCACTCTTAGTTTACTTCAATTTTAATTTAAGCACGCCATTATTTTGTACTAATCGGTTCAATGCTTGGGAATAGTTCCATCACTTTGCAGTCCAGCAGTGAGTCCATCAGAGCCAGGTTTTCGGTGCATCCTTACACTTAGTGCAGACCCACAATATTTTTTCCCATACGACATTTCTTTGGCTAGCCATGGCAGTAGAAATCTTTTTATACCATCAGAAAGATGTTCACATCACTGCCATATTCTACTGCATTTCTAGTCTACTGAGATTCTTCTTTTCAGAACAACTTACACAACTGAAATAGGACTTGTTACTTTTCTTTCTTTCTATAGTTTGGAATGGTTTTGAAGTTTTGTTTGCTGCTGTTTATTTCTGTGGGTTTTATTTGGTGGGCTTTGTTGTGGCTTTATTTTTATGTTTGGTTTGTTTGCTGTTTTTAAATTACAGGTATCTATTTGAGTTCTTTCTCAAGGCAGGATTTTGTCTGTGTAACTGCTTGACAGAGAGCATACACAGTTCTCCATTCACCTGTCACAGAAGCCATCCTGAGAAGTGTACTCATGGATGAAACGTGGGTGGAAGCAGGATCTGACTGTACCAGGAAGCCTGGGAATCAACTACTGTAGCATTTCTAAGCATGAAAATTTCCTGCTGATAGAGCATAAGGACTCTTCTTAGTGCTGAGACAAGCAGCTGCTCTGTGCTTTCACTTGTTACACTGCCATTCATCTGGCATCTCCAGTAACCAGCTAACTCCTCATACCCAGCTACTGGGTGCCAAACACCAGCACAGGACAAAGCTGAGGTAAGAACTGCCTAATTCAGTAATACTTCACGCATCTCATGCTTTGTGTTTACTTTGCTGCCATAAGCTTGCAAGCATGACAACATCCATTCACTATCACTCCCCAAAACAAGAAACAAGTCAGTTGAGAAAGGCTGGGCAGTTCACCATAATAAAACCAAACAATCCTCTGACCTTAAACACTTTTGAGTCAGCACATTCAAGCATCACTCAGAGATTTCTCATTAAAAGAAGCAATTAGTAGCCTGCTACAAACAACAGAACTCATGACAGTTTCTGGTCTCTCAAAGTGTGCCCGCATCTCTGCCACAGCCGGACACCGCAGGCGGCGCTGCCGGCCATTCGGGAGCCCAGCCAAAACCTTTCCTCGGAGCTCCCACAATCTCTTTCTCCAGACCCAACGCAGATTAACTCTCCTCAAAGAGGGAGCAGCAAAACAAACAGCAAGGTCTCTCTACGACTGCTGCTGCTATTTGCTTTGAAGAATTTGGTGCTTGAATTTGAAGCGCGCCGCATTGCTGCTCCGCTGAAATAGGGATTTGGTTCGACCATTACCTCAGCATGGATACGTACTGCTTCTCCTCCCTCAGCAAGAACAGAACTGCCAAGTGAATAATCCAGTGCAATTTATGAACATAAAGTGCAGATATCGCTGTTGAAAATACTCTCTTGCATAAAGTAAGTGCCTCCTGAACAGATGGGAAGATTCACCTGTCTGGCAACCATTAAGGATATGAGGAAAACAGACCTGCATCAACAAACTTACGTACTTCCATCTGGATCCTCTCTCCCCTAGTTACAAGTTATGATGCCACAACTCAGAAAGCGCAATCACTTCTTTCCTGGACCTGCACACGTTGACTTTGTGAAAAACATTCACAGGAAAACAGGAAATGGATGTGTTCCTCATCTGCTCATTCTCCCGACACTTTATATGAAAACCGTGACAAGAAAAGTTATACCTGTGGCAGAAATTCCTCCACTGGATGTTCATTTCATTACCACAGGGTTTCCAGAAAGGCTCGCATCCTGTTAAGTGTGAAGCACAAGCCTTTCCTGCATTCCTTTTCAGGACTAAGACAAGAGGGGAACAAAATGTTCACAGAAATTCAGCTCGCCTCTGTCAGCATACATGGAATGCAGGCTTCCAGTCAGGTCTTTCCTTTCTGGGAAATTCTCCTGAATTACTACTGCAGAGGAACCAGAAAATGTCTTCAACTCAGTAAGAAAGGGGGTGGGGCTTTTTAATTTGTTCTCGTTGCTCAACATTAAAGCAGTTGGATTTATGGGAAAAAAAAACAACAAAAACAACAGTCCTCCCCTTCAAAATGTAATGGAGAATGAGTCACTGACACTGGTACTGTTGCTTACCAGGACAGATTAGAGTCAGGCGCCTGAAAAGTACTGCCTCAACACTGGAATGAAAGAAATATCAAATTGAGCCCTTTGGAGCACGGTATCAATCCTATGTTTGTTTTCTGGTCCCATGCCTTGACTAAACCCAGACACTGAATCTATACACAGTGTTGACATTGATTTTGGTATATACAGCCTCCACTTCAACTAAAAACTACCTGAAATGCCCAATACACACACAGCAACAGTGCCTGAAGGGATGCTGGTGAAGCTGGCACTCTTGGGTAGCTAAACTCGTAAAGGATTCAGCCATCACAAACCGCAGCTGGCTGCAAGGAGCTGTGCAAAACCCAGTATTTCCACCACCAGGTACTGAGCAGAGGAAACAGCCAAATGTGCTTTAGGGAAAAAGCTACATTTTTCTCTGTGATTATGATTTCTGATGATTCTACTAATGATAGCCTAATAAGTTGCTGAAAATCTTTAATCTCAGATCTTTCCAAACTTCTTTTAAGTCTATTTGCATAAGGGCAAGTTGGCATTAAGAATTTTTGCTTCTGTTCTATTTCATCTTGTTTACCTGAATTTTTTTGGCAAGTTAGTTAAAGCAGTACTCAGAAGTTAAATTCTGTTACACTGAAACATATAGATACATTAATTTTGAAAGCAAAATCCTCAAAGGTATTGCAAAGACAAAATTTCACTTCCTATCGTTAAAAATGTAGAAACACTTTTGCCTTAAGGCCAATCCCAAGTCTGTCATCTGTGCTGTACTATATTCAGAGATTTCTAGAGTACTCCTTGTGGAAGAAGACCTAAACAAAGGTCATATGGCCTGCCTATACTTCCTACCGAGGCAAAAGACACTGAGAAGGGCAGCTTGCCATAAACAAGGTTTACATTTTACTGAATGCACAGAATAATTCATGAACGTCATACTGTATGATTTATGATAATAAGATACCGTAAGTCCTTCACAGACTACAAGGCTTGCTTATGTAATTGTTAATTTACAAATCAAGAAAATCTCATACTTACAAAGCTGTGAGTCTTAAGGAAATCTGAAGGGTTGCTTGTGCAGACTTTATCCCCTTCCAAGCCAATTACTCTTTTACAGATATTTGATTTGGGGTCAGTCGGGCTTTTCACAATTACAATATCTCCTCTGGGAGGGAAAAAACAGAAACAGAGACAAACACAAACAAATGAGAACACTAAGTATAGAATGTCTGGTTGAAGACGTGTATCAATGCACATACTCCAGAAATACTCCCAGACATTAAAAGATAGTTCTTTCTGCTCAAAACTCTAGTCACATCTTGGTGTTCTCAGTGACACACGTTACACTGAGGTGTAATGTAAGCACATTTGGAGGCTTTGCTATTTATTTACAAAACATTTAGGCCTGCATTTTAATTGAAAATGCTCTGATGAAATGAATGCCTATTCACTTGATCCTGTTGTTACTTACATATGGAAGAGATTCCAAATTTTTATACGTCATTATACAAATGTTTCAGCAGAACTCCAGATGTCTGACTTTGTAGGATCTTTTGCCCCAGTTATACACATGACATTGTACAGTGAAATGGTCCACAACGAAATGGGCAAGGGCCTGTGCTCTACAACATAATGACATTTGATAAACTGCACTTAGGCTGTTAGAAAAGTTACTGAATGGTCTATCTGGGCACAGCAAAACCCACAGCTTGATTTAAAAGTAAGTCCAAATTACTTAGGAAGAGAAGTTATATTCAAACAAAAAAAGCGTTAGGGAAAATAAAAGGAGGGAAGAGGGAATTTCTGTTTTCTTGGACAAAGATGGAGAAGTGAAATGGACTTGAGTGGTAAGGCACTGGAACGGGAGGTGGGTGGCACTGCCCAGGGAGGTGGTTGAGTCACCAACCCTGGAGGTGTTCAAGACACGTAGATGTGGTACTGAGGAACAGGGTTTAGTGGGCATCATTGGTAGGAGGTGGAGGAGGTGGACAGCTGGGCTAGATGATCTTGGAGGCCTTTTTCAACTGCAATGATTCTATTCTGTGATTCTATGACTGCATCCTAAATGAGTTCTGACAAGTAAGTTTGGGAAGAAGGATAGTGTTTGCCCACTGCTTTGTCTTCCATCAGACACAAGAGGAGATGTACGAAAAAATACAATCCAGATGCTGAAGAATGTATGAAAAATAAAGGATGGATAGAAAGTGGTTAATGAGAAGCTCTGGCAAACTAACTGTAAAATGTAGTCTCAACAAAGGAGCATACTTCCGAATGGAATAAAAGTGTCGGCTAAGGTTCTCCGAAAAGACAATATCAGAATTTTGAATTGTTGGCTCCATTGAAGGTCCAGAACACTGAAAATTAAAAATAAATGAGAAAAAATTACTATTTGTCAACTGCCGTTAACTAAAATACATGTGTCTTCAATTATTTGCTAATAAATTACAAAAGGTGTAATATAAGGAACAATTAAACCCTCAGGTGGGACATTTGATATTCAAGCCTCCAGATTCCCTGTTACAGCTCTTTTAGCTCAGAACCAGTCCTGCACTGTGCTGGGTGCAATGGCTTCCTGGGTACACATCTCAGCACCTTCTCTACAGATTGGAAGCAGCACCACCCCTTTGTTTTCAGCCTCTGTGAAGAGAAGCATCACGAGAGCTGCAGTAGGAGCTCTCAGCCAAACCCATTATCTCCAGCAGCAATATCTGGGGAAGGGAGGAGTAGCATAAAACGTCCGGAAATCTGCAGAGTTGGGATTTTGCTACTCTGGCCTTTCTGAAAGAATGTACTCTCTGCAAAATGCTTACTCATATTGCTTCCCATTTGTTTCAGCGGTGCCTGAAGCACTAACTTGTCCAAAAAGCTGAGCTTTTTGATTTTATTTTTACTGAACACACTTAGAAAAAAAAACTTAAAAATGAAGAAAACCGAAATAACAGCATTCTGAAATATAACAGATTTAGTATTACAGTTGTTATATCTTTTAAAGTCATAAAAATGGAAAGTTACCACAACAATTCCTCCAAGGTACTCAAAGGCACAGTGTGCTACGCAGCCATACTGCACAGCATACCCGAGAAATCGAAAGGTTTTTCCTAGGGCATTGCGAAACATGGCACGGCGCTACGTGGCTCAGCTGGCTCTGGTCTACAGTAAAACAGAAGAACATCGTTCATTTGACAGCAAGCAGTGTAGCATTCATAAAGCCATCTTTTGCATCTAACAACGAATGCACGGTGCTCTTGGAAGAACAGCGACTAAAACCAATCAGGCCCATGAGAAGAGATGAAACGCTATCGGGTTTTTATTGACTAATGCAGGCACTCCCATGTGTACAACCGACTGCCCCTCCCAGCAAGTCAGCGAGATGCAGTTGAGTGGGAGCTGAAAGAAACAAAGGAACCACAAGCAAAGCAAAAAACACATAGCAAGGCTACAGAAATTAATGGGGAGGGAATGTTGACAACGGTTTGCTGACTCAGCTACACAAATGGACTTCTACTCAAATTTGCAGCCACTTGCCAACTATGGGAACATCCTCCCCTCCGCAGGACTGTGGAGCTGAACGGATGCTGGGGAGCTGCAATCCCCACATTGAACACAGGCTCTCCCTGCCTGCCGCACTGCTGCAACCCACTTCAGCTCAGACGGAGCTGGGGACTCAAGATGTTTATGAACTAACACTTGTGGGATTAATCACGTGAAGACAGCACAACTTACACCACTACTTTCCTTCAACCACCAGCAAATTGGAGAAATATCTGAGTGCTGGAGTGAACTGAAACCCAACGGAGTGGGGCTCTACCTATGACTGCAGCTGCCATGGCAGGAAACCAAGAGGATAGCAAAGAAGTGAAGACATCTCCAGCACTGCCCTCCCCACTTTCCAACTAGTGGATTCTCAAAGACTCAGTGCAGTGTGCAGTTGGTATGAAATAAAAGTCCTAATCCAAGAGACAAGGATTTCACTATCCTGGCATACAGGTGCTGGCACAAGGGACTTTCTGAAACGCCTAGGTTTTATCAGATGGCTATGGCAGTAGAGACAAATTCTTAGCTCCTAATAAGCCTCAGCTTCTACCACTCCTCAGGAAAGTGACGTGCAATTTCAAATTAGGGCACACATACAATACAGATTATACAGTTTGAAACGAACAAGATTAATTCAGACAAAACAAAACAAAAAACACAACCAAAACCCAGTAGGTTCCAAGCAATCATTAAACAACAGCTATTCTAGAAAACTATCAATATGGCATTGTTTGAAAACTAAATGCTAAATGCCTGAATTGCTTTCCACATCACACAATTCATTTCACCACCAAGTCCTGTCGGCAGGCACCTCCACCACACAATATGGCCATAAAGGACAATAAAACAAATGATTTAAGTCACAGCCCCCTTCAAAACTTCCCGGATGTGCCATATGAACATCCTTATCGCAGAATTATTGCCATAAAACCTGCTGTAATTACCTCCAGGTACTAACTACTACTTACACAGTAGGTAGCTGAAAACCTTACGCTGAAACATTATTTTTCTAATGAAAATAGGTTATTATTTTCTTTTAAATCGATGACAAAAAGTTACACACATTTATCACACAATACAATTTGGTTTTGTTTGTTTTTTTTTTACAATAACTATAGAGCTTTTCCCCTGCAGCAAATAAAAAGCAAAATCTAATTACTGTTCTCTTCTGTTCCCTTCTCCTTACATGGTCTAGGCTTCCGTCATTGTGGTTTTTTGTTTGTTTGTTTATAAAATTAATCACAGCTAGCAGGGTAGAAATCACTTGGAGCCTCATGAATGACATCCAAGAGATGGGAAAGGATTAGTTCGCAGTTGCTGCCAGTTATAGCGCCAGGTGGCTTTTTCTGCAGCGAAGGTGTTACCGATAATCCCATTACATTGGTACTAAATCTTGCAGACATCAAAATTATCACCAAGGTTCCTTTTCATCCCATCCTTTCCAAATGACTGGAAGTCGCTTCACCTGAAAGAAGTCAAATCCACATGCAGCTGCTGTTTTAGCAGCCAGCGGACTCCCTGAGAATGCCAATCGTGATCCAATTTCGCTGTGCTGGTGGCCCCCTATTCCCTGTCCAATAATACATCTGTTAAAAAATCCTACAGCTACAAATCAAGTTTAATCCTACCAGGGACCTCATGTTGGTCTTGTCTTCCAAAAAGGCAGCAGGTTTTACCATCTATCTCTGCTAGCGTCTAGGGAATACTCTTTAAATCCCAGCCCTACTTAGAAGAATAAGCTAAGGATCACAAAACATGACCTCAAAAACCCTGATATGACTATATTCTGACCCAGAGGCATTCATTCTAGGTGAAGATTAGAACTTTGCATAATAAGATTACACAGCAAGTGAATGATATCAAGGGACTATCCATATGCAGCCGCCTGGTTTTCTATAGACAGCCTGTGCTCTGCAATATGCAGTGCAGACGAGGCAGAGCTTGGTCTTTCTAGCTGAAATAAAATAGATTCACATAAATTAGTTGGCCATTTCCAGATTCCTAAATCCCCTATTACATCTTTTATTGACAGCTCCTGTGAGGATAGCACAAATGTTATTCTCTTTGTATTCTTTGCTTTGGTAACAATCACGCTCCGAGTGAAATGCGGGTAGATTCTCTAGAAATTAACGTCTTGTTTGCTGCGATCCTGGATTACAATTAACTGTGTACATAATAAAATTAGGAAGTCGATGAGCAGATTGGTCATTTCCAGATAACCGGTGGCACAGGTTAGCATCTAGTGCCAAAACTTTCAATACAAGAAAGCCAAAGTCATAGCCAATGAAAATGTGGCTAAATAAATTATTGGGCTTGTTATCAAGTGGATTTTTTTCACTGTAAGAAAAAACTTCCAGTCACCTTTGATTTATGCAATAGTAAGTTCTGAATTTTCACAGAACACTTAGTGATAGTTGATCCATCTTCCCTCAGCTAACAGAAACTCCGTGACTGCATTCTCTCCTCTTAACCAGACATCTTTCTTCATAAGACACAACCCCAGAACTCACACTGTGTTTTTCCCCAAACGATACTCCGAGATCACTATTTATTTTTTTACAAAGTCCACAAAACCCGAAGCAGAAAGAGCAGAGAGAACGCACGCTGGCGAGGCCATTTAAAGGCTTACACTGGAGCTGACATTTAATACAGCTATCTTTAAAACTTTGGCATGAAATTAATCCAAAATGTGCTAGGAACGTGAAAGGTGTTCATTGGAAAGATTCTTCCTGTATCAGATATGCAGTGTAATAAATATAAGATAGTTTAACCTGTTGGAGGTTTTCAAACATCTAAAGCAGAACAAGACACCATTTTAAATAATCTTTCCATGCAGGGGGCAAGCAGAACCCGACTTGTATTTTTGGCTGTTGTTTTGCTGTAGAAGTTGCTCTGGATTCAGTCTGGCAAATCTGAAAATCCTTGTGTAACATTCTGGAGGAGGAGATTCTCCTTCCACATCACCTCCACTAGGCACTGACTCTTTGTCTCCAACAAACACTCCTTCATCTACTGATCTCAAGCTGATAAATAACGTGGTCTGTAAGCATAAGTTCACATAATGCAATCCTCTCGTGCTCAACAACTACAGAGTACCTACGTGAGAATGAGCAATTTTTCACAATAGACTGCAGGCAGTTCTCACTGATTCTCTTTGCCTTGGGGAGGAACCTCAGCAACCCTGCACAAAATGCTGCGTCAGTGGTCAGATACGTTCCAGGACTTCTGTTTTTCTCTGCAACTCTCTGTGCCCATCTTTGCTGAAGAGCAAAATCCAAACAGAACAAGAACGTGGCCATACCTGGCAAATCTGAGCCTCTGAGGAATGCTGAAATACTCACTTAACTTTCTCCTGTAACTACATCAGCGTTAGGACACAGGTGCCAAAGCTCTGACAGACAGCACAGTCCCTTTGCTGGTGAATGAGAAAAATACACCGTGTCCATGTCCTGAGAGTCAAACAACTCTGTCCTGCGCCACATTCATTTACCTCCAATTTCAAAAAAATTCACCTTCTTGAAATATCAACAGACATAAAGACATCAAATGCATGCTAATTAACTACAACAAAGCGTTCCGAGTCCCGTATTCGCACCAGGTGCTCAAGATCCATGACCCTACAGAAACCAAAGCTCTCCATGGCTCACGTGCTGCGTGCACTTCCCAGTGCTGACAGCTTCCAAAAGGATGCAGGCATCTCTATCCGAAGCAGTGAGTGGAAGAGCAGGAAATTATTTCCCTATGCACTAAGAAATTCAGAGGATGTTTACTTAAAATATCTATCATTACAAGCAGCAGCAACAAAAAGCCCTTCATGTAAAACAAAGCCATCTATTTACATACACCATCGACAAAAGCATTTAGGAAGAGATACAAGTGTCTTCCTCTTAGCCCCACTGTTGGTTCCAGATTAGAATGTTATCACTGAAGAGTACTCCGTGGTGGTTTATTAGCACAGAAATCACGCAGTATGAGATCTTAACACAAATACTGAATCAGAGATGGTATTGTTAAACAGTTGAGAAATGCAAAAGCAAAAAAAAAAGACCAATTTTAGCATAAAACTGTAATAAATAATCTTAGTGTATTTCTTCATCAGTACTTCCCAGTTACAAGCAACACCTTCTAGTGAAGTATGCGAAATGTGCATAAAAAAGCTACAGAAAACAGGAGAAAGAAAACACATATTCAAAAAAAAAAATGAAGTATTTACATTTTCAAGTTACATGAAGAGAAGAAAACCAAATCGAGGGCTTGTCACTGATATAATCCTGAAAGTTACTTGATGGTTTTCCCAGACTGCCTTTTAATTAAGAAATTCTAAATACACACACATGTATGGCATCAATCACTTACTCTTCATAATGCAAACTATATTGCATGGGAGTTTGTGCAGTGAAAAAAAAAAGGACATTAATCAGCACTTTTTATTATATTTATTACTATATTATTATTATTATGTTTATTTATATAAATTTTTTGCTGTAAAAGTTTATGTTGTTTCTGAGCCATTTTATTTATAAAACATGAGTTCTGTAAGTTCTCCTGCACTTACAGATACAAATATTTAAAAAGTTCCAAACATCAATAGATGAGTGCAATGATATTCAGTCTAA